TTGGATGAAGGACACGGCGTAGTAGCCCAGAGCGACGTTCACAAAGTCACAACCTTTTCCCTGACTTCAGCTCGGAGAGAGGACCGGAGGAGATTTACTATCAATAGAAATTTAGCATTTGGAAGCAAATCACAAACTGTGGAGTCAAATAATTTAAGCAGTTTTAAAAGTCAGAGGAGGTGGAAAGAAGTACTATATGCTTTTTTCCTCTACTTCAGTGGAAAAATAGACATGCTATTAACTTCAAAAAGGTAATCTTGTGTGTTTAACAAAACCAGAATGCTCCGTTCTTAAGTAAAATAGTTTGAGTCATATTTTAATTTGCTTTTCCCTACAACGTAAAACACCTGACTGGACTTCATTTAAGGAAGTGTTGCATACTTATGTTCCCCAGTCTCCTTTATTTCTGAGCTGTTAGCTCCACATTATTACATTCTGCTCAGTCACCAACAGGGGGCGTCATCCCTGGTTATATAAATTGGTCTTTTGCTGAAGCTAGAGCTGGAAAATTTAAGCTTTTCCCCCTTTTTATTTCTGAATCATATAAACACAGATAGAAGAAGCGCAGAATAGAATAGAATAGAAATTTATTGACCCACAGTGGGGAAATTCAGAGGTAGCAGCAGAAAACTAGAAGCATGCAGGTTGAAACTAACAAAAAAAAAACAGAACAATAGAAACGAGGCTTTACACTAAGGGCAAATTTACAACATAAGAAAAATAACACCATACCATTATTAAATGCTCTGTTTAAAAGAAATGTGCAACATATTGGATATAAATTGTAAGAAATTCATTTGAGTTGTGGCTTCATCTGAAGTAAAACAGGGGATGCAGCGATATTTGCATCGCTGCAGGAAAATACGTTTAACGATATTTGTATGATTGCTTCTTAAGATCCACTACCCATTTCCTTTGCTGAAGACCACAGCACTCATGGCCTGACTGATGAACCACGTTTAAAGCAGATGTTTCACCAGGGCAGACTGTAAATCCATCTGCAGTCATCTTACCATGTTGTAGGTTAGAACAAATTAAGTCACAGTTTTACGGTGGTATAATACATTTTGTTACATAAACAAAAAGTATGAGGACGTGACGTTTTCATCTGATGAAAATTTGTGCGTAGGCCTAATTTGCATCATGCACCACAAGTAGGGGGGATGTTTTTCTCTACACCTCGTCTTTATGGTAAATCAATGAAGGTTTTATCCTGGGCCTTTTGTTTGCTTTGGCTATTTAAGCTGTTTTTCTGTTTATCTTAGTGGAATGAAAAGAAGAAATAACTAAACTAATCGACCAAACAGAAGCTTCCTCACGAGACTGCGAGCTGTTCTGTGCTTTAGGAACAGCTCTGACTTTAAGAAAGATTTTACTGAATCACCTGAGAATTATGTACAAAAACAGGTCTTGCGAGGCAGAAGCTCTTTTGTCATACTTCCAATAATTTGCTTGTTGAAAGGTCAGTGATCAAACCTGAAGATCAGCAGATTACCATCAGTCTGATGCATCACACACTATGTAAAAATAACATTGAGGTCTGGTGATCAGATGCAACTTTTGTCAGGTTAAATGTTGTATGTTTTATGGACTTTCAGGTTAAAACACACAAATCTACACAATTTAGTAATTCAGACGGTGTAAATTTGTCTCTTCTTGTCTCTATGGTTGTAAGAAATGATATCTTAGCTTAAGGCTTGTTTTTTTTACTATAGTAATCTTACATTATGCTTTTTTTAGATCATAATTGGTTATTATAAGAGGAATAACAATGCAAAACAATACATTTTAATGTACAAACATATTGATAGACAATATCTAATCCTTAAAACAAAGATGTTGCATCTTTTTTAGTTTTTCTTTTTTCTCTGCAGGGTCTCTGCTTTTGTTTACTCCTGGCTAATGATAAAAAAAATGTTCAAATCCATGAATCATGGATGTGAGGAGTCGACTGAACAGTTCTGACAGGTCGGCATTCGATATACATGAAAAGCAAAATTAAAAACCAGCAAGTTTTCCCAAAGCATCATACAAAAATAGGATGAATAAGAGATAAAAGCAAGAAATAAAACAGACATCAAAACACTCATGCAGTAGAACGGAGACTCATGTCAACTTACACAAGTCAAATATTATTGAAAAAATATGCTTTTTTTTTTTTTTTTTTTTTAAAGAGAAACTTAGAAACGGTATTCAAATCCTCGTGAGCCACAGTAGGAAATGTTTCCGCCTGGGTTTTTGCGACGGCTACAAGCATCTGTGTGCATCAGTTAAGAGACGACAGCAGCGATTTGATCCAGCTGACGACGGGAAAGGGATGCATGACTGACACCGGCTGAAGTTCACAGCAATAGTCGAGACGGGCTGAGATGAAGGCGTGTATTGTTCTCTCCAAGTCATGCCTCAACAAAACTGACTGAAGTTTTTCTATTTGCTGTAAGTGGAAGAAATCTTTTTTTTTTTTTTGCTAAACAGATCTGATCTGTTTGACAAAAACTTTTAACCCATGTCAATCATTACCACCCAAATTTGATACGTGATGTTTGATGAATGACCCGAGGAAAATAAAGCTAAATTAATAAGCAAGTTACTTCACGTACTTTTAGGTCAGAATATAATAATCTCTTGTTTTGCATTCGTTGAAGCTTAAAAAAAATGTTGTGCTTTCCAAGCCGTGACATTTTCAAGACAATTTAATGAGTTATTAGGAATCCTATAAGACAGACGGTCCAAGGTGGACAGAAAATGTTCAGTATTAACACTTAATTCACACCTGTTAATGAGAACAGGTTCCCAATAAAAGTAAATACAACCATATTGTTTTATTACTCTGGACATGTGATGGACTGCTGCGGCATTACTTTGTAGCGTCCATTTGAAATCGAAAGGGTTGGATTTTTAATTTGGAGTAAAGGAAATGTTTACAAGTTTGTCATTAAAGCTTGTGATTTCTTAATATTGGTTGTAGGAAAAATGCAATGTGCTCCACATTTAATATCTGTTTGAATTTACGGTGCATTGTTTGTGTCAACTCCTGACAGATTAGTCATCTAAGCATTAGTTTCATTTTTTATTTTGCATTTCACAATCATTTAGAGTCCTTCAATTTAGATTAAAGAGACAAGCACTGAATGTTTCCCCCCACTGCCAGGGAACACAGTAAAGTTGTCTAAGTTGTAAAGTTTCTGGTGCAGATACAGTACAAGCACTTTGGGTTTTGTACTGTTATGGTCTAGATTGTTAAGGTGCGAGATGCTCCTTTAGATGTGTAAAAATCTCAAAACAAAGCTAATGTGTGACGACTTTCAAGTCAATGTGAGATGAGGAGAGGAAGTACAAACCAGAAGAGAGTTGTAGAAATTATATTTTTGAGCAATTGCATATTTTTGAGAACTGTTTTGGGGAAAAGAAACATGCACAGAGTCGTGGTTATTAATTTTGAAAAAAAAAAAAAAGATATCTTCAACAGATAAACTTCATTGTGATTTTTCAGTATTTAGAAATCTACAAGAATGTTACGTATTGTATCTATTTATCATCTTATTAATGTTGATTAAAAAATAAAGGTGGACAAATCAACTTGGCTTAAAATCCACTCTAAAAGTAGCCTGGGATGTGATGATTAAAATGTGTGAATTGAAGTCAGGTTGAACACCCAGTGCAAGCCTTTTTTTTCCCTCTATCTTTTTTCTTTTTTTTTTGTCACACAGAAACGGGCTTCGTTTCTAGTCAGAGCTCAGCCCACAAAATAAGGCATCCGTCCGTTAAGTGCGTGGGTCGACTTTTCAGGCGCTGACTTATCTGTTAAACAAAACTCAGATACGTGTAAATTATGAGTGATAATCTGAGACCTGAAAACAAACAAACAACAATAGAAAAAAGAACCTGAAAATGTTAGGTAAAGATAAAAAAACAAGTGCGTGTGTGTGTGTGTGTGTGTGTGTGTGTGTGTGTGTGTGTGTGTGTGTGTGTGGTTGCTTTTCTAAATGGTGAGTGAAAGTTCTGTTGTATCGTTAATAAAAAACTTTCACTTTTTTGCTAATGTGTCTTCTCCAACCTAATTTTCATATTAATTTGATATGTAAATCCTAAATGTGTTTTTTTTTTTTGCTTCAGACCTTCAGGCTTGTCTTCTTTTCTGCTCTTTTATTGAAGAGCAGAAAAAACTATTTTTTTTTTCTTTTTCGTCCAAACACGACACATACTGCATAAGTTATTGTTCCTTTAGAATAATCACTTTTCAAGCATTATGAAACACAGTGTAGTCATCCAGAGTCTTTCGGTGGTTAACATGTGAGACATGTTAGATCCCTGAGATGAGGGCATGTTGGTATTTGTTGAGAAAAAAAAAAAGAAAGAGGCACCAATGCTACGTTATTTACGCTAACGAGTGACTCCTGAGCAACGTTCTCAGGCATTCCTTCGATATTGTAAGGAGAGGAGCCTCGTTCATTCTGAATAGAAATGGGGATTTCTCAAAAGAGCCGCTGTGTGTGCATTCTTCCTCAGACGCTTTGCACTATTAATATGTTCGTGAGTCAGCTGAAAGGAGTGTGATATCAATGGCAGAACGATTACAAACGTTTTGGCTGAGATTTAATCTTTTTTTTTTTTTTTTTTTTTTAAAAATTCTTTGAGGAAAAAATATCTTGAGATTTCTCAAATTTTCAATTTCAACAATCATATTTAGACTGTATTTATAAAAGGGGAAAAACAAAAACAGAGCAAAGTTAAACACTGCACATCTAATTTCATAAAAGTCTAAAATGAACACCTGACTATAAATGTTATGACACTGCTTATAAGTGCTTTTGATTCAATTAACAAAACTAAAACCAGACTATTTCACTCATCTGAGAGTAGTTTTTACTATTTCTAAAATCAATTTGCCTCCAGATTACAGCAGGAAGTTCGCTTGAACAATGGATGTTTCCAGGTTTCCCGTTTTTGTTCAGATTATTGTCTAATGGGGGATTTTTCTTTTGTCATCTCTTTTGCAGGGCAGAGACACGATGAGGAGGCAGTTTCACCGCAGCTCTTAAAGGCATGTTTCCACTGCCTTCGCCCATCATGACGAGCGCCGGGGAAACCACCTCGTCTGAACTTATCTGGTAGGAGTTTATATCTCTGAATTACTGTACTACCAGACCGGTCAGTGTCTTGATACCAGACGGGTTTGTTTGGTGATAAGCTTGGCATATTTCCAAAACAAATTGTTTTTGAGTTTGTTGACCTGTGTGCTTTTTTTCATTTTTTTTTTTTTTCAAACAAATTTCATGACATGATACTCTTGATGCTATTTCATTCTGGTTCACTTTTTAGACAGTAATAAATCGTACTAGCCTGGTGGTTGCCTTCCTGTGCGTTTCTGCTGGATTCTCGTCTCCCTTCAGCTCAGTTTCCCAGGATGCATTTCATCCAGGCCCAACAGAAACAGCAGTTGTGAAGGATGATGCTGATTTTTTGTTTTTGCACTGTTTCAGTATTGTAGACTGCCATGGTTGTAGTTTAGTGGCGGAGGAAAGTGAACAAAGCCCTTCAGTTCATGTTGGCCACGTTTCCAAATAATGTGCAATTAAAAGTTGGAGCAAGACGAATATGAAAAATGACGGAGCCTTACTCTCCACATGCAGCACACTCAGTTTCCAGTACGCTTTATAGTGTAGCTTCCTTCACATTTCAGTTGGCTCATTACATATTAGCATTAATACAACTTAAAAGCGATAAAAAGTTTATAGAGACACTTAAAACATGCATAATAATATTAGTCTCCAGAGCTGTTTAGTGCACAAAGCTGTGCATTAATCTGTAGTTTTGTGCACAAGCTGTGTGTCAGTGTGTGTGAGAGGGCATTATTTGTTTTCAAATAGTGCTCTGAGTGGGTTGGTGCCTAACGTCGTGTTATTTTAGCTTGCCACAAAGTTCCAGTTTGCAGATGTCGGCACTTACAGTTGTCATGTAATACTAGAGAATCACTGCTTTGCTGAAATGGATGATTTGTCATTAGTAGATAACCAGATTAAAAAAAACACAAGTGAAATTCTCTCCGTTTTTTTATGTTTTTAGGAGCCACTTTGATCAGGAGCTCTTTGTTTATTTTGCATGGTCTTATTCTATGTGGTTTTATTATGGGTGTCACTGTTTATTTGTGTGTGCAATATATTTCATCAGACACCGGAAAGAGGTCTGCAGCAGAGTTTCTTTGACATCCACTTTTACTTCATGATGATAATTATCGTCTGGGACCAGATGAAAATCTCTGAGTAGTGAAAGAGTGTATCAGATTTTCTTTTTAATATGTATCTACTCTCTTCTTTGCTGTTGTGCTTCATTTTATTTTAACTTTTGAAACGCAACACATGCACATATATCCTGGGGTATTCCGTGTGCCTTTGTGTATTGTATGTAAATAATCATGGTGGGCCGCTGTGGCCCACCATGATTCAGTCAAGAGGTCACACGGTCTTTGGTTACTGTCCACTGCACGTCCGTGTAATTCTGTGGACAAAAGTGGACAAAAATAATCTTACCTTACCTGCTGTCAAGACTAAACCCTTTTAGGTTTTTAAAAAATAAATATTTGATGTATTTTTTAAAATCTTTCCTTTATTGAGAGTGTCTTACCTTTTATTTTTTTAGTTTCACTGTCAATTAAAGATGAAAACTGTCTTCTCATGGATTGTAAAAATTCTGCTCAAAGATCATAGATGTCCATTTGAATGATCTGGCCTTTCTCTGGAAGGGACATGCAGTCCAAAGAGCTAAAGGCGTCACCAGTAGATGGAAACATGACCTGGAAGAGCAATTTCTCAGTATGCCTTCTAACGTCAAACTAATTAGTTTTCAACACTTTTATCCCTTCAGTCATCAGGATAGCTCATGATCTTTGTTGACCCTTTACACTAAGGGTCAACAAATCTTGCTGATGATAAGACTGTGTATGTGATGGTGGGGGATTCTGTATATTTCTCTCCTGAGCCATTGGGATTTATTTCATGTCTGGATCGGTAAACACGATGGTGCCTCCAGGAATAAATTAAGTTTTCTGATTCTGTAAAAGGCTGAGGAAAAATCTGAACCCACAGCAGCTGAGAAAACTTTAGAAAGTTACAGGAGACGGTTTGCTTTACATGTAACATGCTAAACTTGGCCAGCGGTGCATAACACAGTGGCCACCAATAAAGTTGTTGTAGAAAAGTGTCCAGAACCAGGGCGAAATGATTATGAGAAAGATTTACATCCCCATTAGAACCTGAGAAGTGTTTTGCTCAATAAAATAATAATAATAATAATAGTCTCATCAATGGTCTGGGTGTTGAAAATATTTATTATAGCTGGAGCATGAGTTGTTTTTGTGCCCTCATGCAGAAATTGTAATAATTTCCCACAGATCTGTTTTTGTTGTTTCAAAAAAATCTTTCCTCTCAAACAGCTGCATGGACAGATCTTTGAGAAAGGAGAGTTCACACTCCACCCTTTTTTCTGAGTTTCCAACAAATAGCCACACATATATTCAATATTTTACAATTAGAAGGGGGATTTTTGTACAGAAAATCCACTTTTTTCTCTTTTTACGCCATCGGACAGTCTTAGGCAACACATCATGATCCATATATGATCCTGCATTTCTGTTTTAGACATTGACTCTAAAAGCTCTTTTAGAGTCAAAAACACATTTTAAATGTTATACATTTGTCTTATTTCGTTAGAAATTGTAAAACATCTTGGTTTGAAAGATCTGATGATATTTAATCCCAGTTGTGTCGTACTCCAATTCCCCGAGACTGATGTCCTGCTTGTTTATATGTCCCTGCTCCAACACATTGAATTCATATGATTGAATTTATTCTTAATTTTATAGTACTATCCAGTTATTATTCTGTCACATTGATCACACATTATCAATTTCTGATTTAGCCATCAAGCTAATTAAAAGTCGAAATCCCTTGAAAACTTTAGAAGAAGCCATAACTCCAGCCGTTCAGACCTTTAAACTTCCATCACTCTCCTCTGGTAGTTGTTGTTTACGTCAGCTGGTTTCCTTGACGGGCAGCGATGGGTGCCGTAGCAACCGAGGGTAATCAGCTGAAGTGGAGTTCATCCATACATCAAAGTCGAAAATGTCAATATATGTCATTGCGTCAGAGAAAATAAAACAGCTTGCGTTGCCACTGGAGCTTTTACTTTACTGCCTCGGTGTTGGTGTTTAAGGAAGTCCTCACACAGTGGCGACAGAGTCAAAACCAAGAAACCCAGTGACAGGCTGCTAATAAAACAAGATGTACAGTCCGCTCTCGCAGAGGAGCAAAGGTCCGAGTTACAGCTCACATGACCCTCATAAACCTGTCTGGACCCGCGCAAGCCGACCCAGAAGTTACAACCGGCTTATGGCTTAATTAACATCAATTCACCGCAATTATGTAGTTGATAACTTGTGATAAGAGCAACTTGTTTTTTTCCTAATGCTTCAAGGAATGTCAGACAGGATTTAAAATATGGCGCATTTTATCCTCTAACCTATATAAGCTGGTAAGTTAAGAAGTGTGTGGGCCTAAGGTCAAATGTAAACTCATTACAGCGAGAAAAAAAAAAAACGGAACAAGTAGTTCAGAATGTTTTATGAGCAAGGTAAATATTTGATTTAGAGCATTCAGCAGCATCACACCTGACCACACGGATACTAATATCTGCTAAGCTTTAGTAAAAATTTATATTTAAATCAGCTTTGTGACATTTGCTTAAGTAATTTATGCAGTTTAAATCCAGAGGAATGCAACATTGGTGAACAAACGGCGATAAGTGAGCACGGCAGACAGGTTGGGGAGAAAGTTGTGGATAAATAAAAACCATTCAGGTTGCAAAATGCATCTCAAGCTCTGAACGTCTCGCACAGCTTTGTTAAATCCATCGTCTGTAAGAGGAAAAGGGCACAACTGCAAGATGAAGCAGGACAAAGTCACCTAAGCAGGCCATATGAGGGGAGGATTAGTCAGAGAGGCAGCCGAGAGGCCCGTGGTAACTCCGGAGAATCTGCTGACTACACAACTATCGGTCATGCACTTTACAAATCTGGCCTGCACAGAAACCAACAAATTAATTCCCAGCGTGACATTTCAGCTTTCATCTCTGATAAAAGTGTTTGGAGCTCTGCCCCTTCGTCAGTCAGTGTGCATGTAAACCTGTCGCCCTGAATGGAATCAATCAATCTGTGCAAAAAGCAGCGAGGCAGTTCAAAACACAAAAATATAAAATCGTAGAATACACAGTCAACAACTGAAGCAGGGCATTTTGCAAAGTGTCGACATTTCACATCAAAATGTTGGTCAGCTTTTATTTATGATGTTTCTAAAGCAACTCTAACCAGGTGTGGTTGTAGTCTAGATTCAAAGGAAGTCAGTGTTTCGGCTGTTTTTACAATTTTCCGGAAGTTTTGTTCCAGATTTGTGGTTCGTAGAAGGCGAATGCTGCTTCGCCGTGTTTGGTGCTCTGGTCAGATGAAACCAAAATTAAACAAATTTCGAATTTTACTCGGAGAGAACAAAGGCATAACGCGACACCTAACCCTGAGGAGAAAATCCCCGGAGTGAAACGTGGCGGCGGCATAGTGGTTCATATCAAAGATTCATGTGTCCCAGTCAAAGTCCAGGCTTTAATCCAGTGATTAATCCAGGCTTTAATCCAGTCTGTTGCAAGACCTGAAAGTTGGTGACCACAGGCACTCCCAATCTCACTAAGCTAGACGTATTTCATAAAGTATTTGTTTGTAGACTACATGCCACTAGTAAAGCACCATGTTTTCATCTGAGCTACCAAAATCCTCAGGATTACATCTTTAGGCAGCATCTTCCTTGACTTTTAGCTCTGGGCTTCAGCTGTTACTCTCTCCCCTCCCGTTTTAAAAGCCCTTCAATTCAAAACAGAGCTGCAAAATAGGTCAAAGGAAGGGAAATGCTGAAAACAAATTAGAGGGAAAGTTGTTAGAGGAACTTCGATTTTAAAGCAGGAGTCAAATGGAACGTTTTTTTTTTTTTTTTCTAAAAATGGGGATTGCTGGGCTTTGCACTGCATAGTGTCAATCTGTGTCCAGCTGTTACTGCTGTTGGACTGCTGG